CTGAAACTCTTCTGGCAGTGCAGATGTCTCTCTAAAGAAGACGTAGTCTAGATGGAAGAAGGAATTCTTATCTTCCAAAGCATGTGAAAACACATGAAAATAATATTGGGACACCAAGAAAAAATGTAGGAAACAGAATAATTTTTCACCAGAACTTCTCTATTTAGAACTCCATCCCTGCTTATAAGAGAATGAAAAGCAGGTATATTCAGCAAAAAGGGAAAATCTGAAAGAAAAGCAAAATTGCATGTCACAAACAGCTATTCAGAGACTCCTGACACATGAGGATTCCTGAGTTCCAAAAATTTATATTAAGGAGCAAAAAAAGAAGCCTTGAATCTCAGTTTGGAACCGACAAAGAAAATTAAAGTAAGTAAAATGATACCTCAGCGGACATTTAGCATTATTTAGATAGTTCCTTTGGATTCTTTAGGAGTCAAATGAGATCTAGTAATTAAATTTTTTATTTTTTATTTTTTGTACTGGAAACAACAGATGAGTAATATAGGTATGTTCCTACAAAATATTCAAAATAATTTCCCAGAAAAAAACTTCCAAACAGGCAAATCATGAAACTGGCAAAAATTGGTTTATATCCACTAAATCAGAAATATCATTAGATGAGTATACTCTATTGCATTATAAACTATAATAGTTTCTAGTAATATTGTTATGGCAAGAGTTCCCATCCAATGCTGAGCTTTACAAATCACTTCCTTATAGCAACACCATGATATGCTCTTTGAAAATGTTATGTTGCTGGTAGCTTTGTGATGCAATTTATTCATATATGAATTCTGGCCAGCAAGCAGACTTTGCTCTCTTTGATTTTTCCAGCATCACTTCTCAAGGGAAAACAAACTGCTTCCTGAGGCAAGGGCATTTGTACTTTGATCAAAGTTCTGTGAAAAGATAATTTTCAACATATTGTTTGAGCCTGCCTCTGCTCAAGAACCCATGCTGTAGGATAAAAAGCAATTTTCTGAGCATAAATTCAGGCTTCAGATCATCGACTTCTCCTTTAACAAAAAAACTAATGTGGAAAGCCTCAGTAGCATTTGCTAACTTGCCAAGATTGTACTCATTGTACTTAAAATGTGCAAGTCCTGAGACCACTGCATTATTTCAATACATAATGCACAAATATTTCAGTAATTGATGACTAAATGTATGTGTCCTGTCCTTCTGGGTGACTTACTCAGTGAATGATGGAAATGTTAAATCGTTTAATCTGTTAAAGATTACAAAAAGTGACAGAACAAAATACTGAAGAATATGAAGTTTCTATTTATCACAACATCATTTGGAAGATTAAGAGATTGCATTGTCAGTCTCCAGTCAAATACATGCAACAAGCAAATGATAGCGATTTCACAGCTACATCAAAAGACACCTTAAATGATCTTCAAAATGAGGAGACAGAAGAAGAGAGTGACAAGAATTAATTTCTATTAAGAACATGACAATACCTCAATGCTCTAACCAAGTCAGAGCTCCTGTGTGGAAGCCTTGGTAGAGCCACTGTGAGGAAACACCTGCCCCAAAGCACTTGAACTATTTGGAGGAGAGGAGGAAAGGCTGCAGGCCTCCATTCTCTCACAGTCCATCACTGTCAGAAAACAGGTATGGCACTGCTATTTCTCACATTTTCATCAGCCAATCTGTTCCAATTTGGAAACCTATTCATGCTGATGCTTCTATTTCCCTAAGTTTTTGTGAGTTTTTTTGAAAGAAGAAAATAATTTGCAAAGTTCCACTTCGAGAAAGCTTTGTGTGTTTAAGTTCTGGTACAATATTCTCAACCCATTGTGGTCACCTTTGCCTTTTCTGTGTGAGGCTGACATGCCTTGCTGTGTTATCTTCAGAGCAATTGTGGGCTAGAGGCAGAACTGCAAATGTTTGCTCACTGCCCAGAGGCCTGACCTACCCACGACCTTTACAGCAACTTCCCAAGAAGCAGAAAGCAAGGCTGCTATCCAGCATCTCTTTATTCCTTGGCCTATCCACCAACACTGCAAACAAAAGCACCAAGTACTGTCAGGTGTGAGGGAGATTGCTGAGATCTGGGCACCAAACACAGGCTTCTCAAAAGCAGGCACTGAAAAGTGATTGAATTTCACCCCAGGCAAAATTGGGGATGAACACACACCTGCTTCACTGGGACAACAGTCAGGCAAACTTTCCTACCACCTGGGTCTGGGAAGAGTTATGCCAAGAACACCAGCTCATTTCAAAATGAACTGAAGGGACTTTGATCAAAAATCATTTTTGATCTGTGCAACAAATGACCAAGTGATCAAAATATTTCAGTTTTCTTCACACAAAGAATACATTATTTCAATTTGCTATTCAACTTGTGCTTACCCTAAGCGAGTTCCTCAGGAGACAGCACACCAGCTGATCCTGAACGTCACCAAAACACCCATTGTTTTAGGCTGTCAGGTTGTATTCTGACTCTGACAGTGTTTTCTGTACCACTGCATTTGAATTTTCCTATTAAGTTGTAGTTTTTAAAATTTAGATATATCAGTAAAGTAACTAAAGCTGCTACTCCCATATCTTTAAGTGAGAGCCCTTTAATTTCAAAATTTGAATAATTCGGAGGGAAGAAGTTTACATTTTCCATTTCAAGGGAAGTTCCTGCCTTCTTTAATAGACAACTGTCTTTTCAAACCAAGACACCCATGATCAACCAGGTCAACCCATTAACTGCAGTACCTCATGTATCTATATGGCACTTAAGCATCCACCCACACACCAAAAAAATCAACATTGGTCACAGTCTTGACAGATAAAATCCCCCAAGATCATTTGCAAACTACGACTTCCAATAGCAGCATCTTGGAGCTCATTAAGACACTTAAGAATCAGATTTTTCCAGCTCATACCAAAAAGCTCTTGTGCACTGAAGCACCACATGATGTTACTCAACATGGCTGAAACAGCAAAGTGCTCACAGGACATTAATTAACTCCAATTGATCTGGTGTCCCAACCTGTGCCTGACACCACTGTGTGCTTTCTTTTAAACCTTTTCTGTGAGAAAGCACTTGCAGGAAATCTAGAGCCAGTCCTGTAAACATCTCTCTCCATCAGGTTCCCACATAATTAAATACCAGAGAGGGCACCCGCTGGGCATGTTTCCCCCCATACAGTTCTGTGTTCAAAAAGCCTTCTGCTGTTAATCAGCACTGATTACCAATCTCTTTGGCAGTAATTGGTGTTTCAGGCTACAAACCACAGCTCTGGGAGTCATACAAAGTTTCAGCAGAGGGTGTGACCTCTAATAATCCTGGCAAAATCCGGTCTGATGCATGCGAATCCACCCCAATACAACAGTTAGTTAATGCTCACAATACTGTAATTTGACAGAATGGAAGCAAATTTTGTCACTTTACAGAGCATTAGAACATGACTTTCTGTAACACATCTTGCTTAAAACCTCAGGGCAGTGAACTAGAACCAGAAATGTGACGTTTTCAGTGTCAAACTCAGTTAGTGAGTGAATGTGCTGGCAAACACAGTGCTCAAAGCCATTGATCGGGCAATGCCTCTCTGCTCTTTCCAAGTTTTGATTACTTCATGAAATTTTTACATCTTTTCTTCCCTCAGAATAAACAGCATATGTTGAAGAACTCTTAAAAATAATCTTTCCTTCAAGGGAAACAGTTTTCCCTCTAGCGAAAATGTATTGTTACCTTCAGTTTCATTGTGAAACAGGAAAAACAAAGTACTGAAAAATGCAATGGAGATGATGTGGATTTAAGGGCAAGATCTCCCACAGTACAGCAAGAACATAACACAGTAAAATAAAAGTGGTTGTTACTGGATTTTTTTAGATTTTTGGAGCAAGAGGATGGGACTGAATGCTTACCTTCTTTTCCCAATTCTGCCAGCAGCCATAAAGCCAAATGCTCAATTGGTATTTTATGTTCTAAGAAGAAGGCTGGAGAAATATGCTGCACAAATTAAATACCTTAGGGAGGTTACACTAGGAGAGAAGATCTTAGTTTATAAGCAAATATTTAAATTAATCATGTTAACAGATGCATTTCTACTTACTGTTTGTGAATGTAATAGCTCAGTGTTAGGGAGAATTGGAAATAAAAGCAATTACATATAGCTCTAATTCAGCATTTTACTTTTTGAGTGACTGTGAACATGAACCGGTGCTCTTACTGAGGAGGGGGAAGCTGGAAACTTCCCTTCCAACACAGACATGAAATTATACTAATTTTTTGTCCAAAATGAATTTATTCTATACAACTACACCCAGGCTGCTTGAGAACCCAAAGATGCTGGTAGAAAGGGTCCTTCAAAAATTTATCTTGCCCAAAACTCTGCAGCTGAATGCCAAGAGCAGTCTGGCTAAAGAGATGCACACTTGAGTTGAAACACTCTTTTTTCTGGTTAGAAGGTCAAATGAAAATCCCACCTCAACCATCAGCATGAGGTCACTCCAAAATGCACTTGTCTGTGATACAGGCTTCTATGTAACACAAAAAACATGTAAGGAAAAAGCAAGCAAGAGGATAAGACAGACCCTGTTGATTGGGAAATTCACTTGGAGCTCCCCAGTTGCTGGCTTAGCCAGCATTCAGTATTGGTTACTCAGAGCTGGTTCCAAGACACACAGCATTGGCTGTGAGAGCTCTAAAATGCAAGCTGAGTTTTGCCCCATCAAGCCACACAGATATCATTAACTCATGAAAATGCTGCTGGTTGTCAGAAGCAGCTCTCTTATTTCTGTTCCTCTTCAGTGTGTTCCTGCCCTTCCCTCTCCCCAGTGCTTGACGGTGTGATGAAAAGAAGTGGATCAACACTTTGGCACAATCAGACAATAATATAGTCTTCCAACTTTGTTACTTTTTATTTAAATATAATTATAGCTTTGCTGTTGTCATGCTCTTCATCCAACAGCCAAAAGTTTGAAAGCAAAAATTTGGTCACTGATTTGTCTTTCTATGAGGAACAGAGAAAATACAGGTTTTCATTCAAGGATTTTGCTTTGTTTCTTTCTTCTCTCATGCCTGTCTTTCATTACAAGAAGATCAGGCTTTTCCTTGTGCTGGAAGACTCATTAGATGGTAGGTTATCACTCCACAAAAGCCATAACCTTTCTGTACAAGCAGCCCTGAGGGAACATTAAGTCTGCAAGGCACAACACTTATTTTCAATTCCTGAGAAGCAAGGTTTAGAAAAGAACCACTTTGCAAAAATGGTCTGGCTATTCATTTGGAGGCTGAAGAAGCTACAGCTCTGGAACTGTGATAAGGAGACTCCTCGGACCAAAAGATAAAGAAAAATTTGGTTTTATGATAAATACAATCTTATCCCGTCGTTTATAAAGTGTCAGGATGGAAGGGTGGGAAAATGAAATTCCTCTTTAAAACAGTGAACATAGGCCAGACATTTTCTGCACTCATCACTTTTGAAAAGCTGAGCTAATTCTATGCCTGCCGTGATTCCTGGGTGCTGCTGAGGTGATGCAATGAAGGCAGAGAAGCTCCAAGGGACCAGGAGGGAGTTGTTGTCAACATGGCAGTGACAAAAATCCTGATGCCAAAGGGGTCATTGGAAGGGAGACTCCAGCAGCAACATTAGCTTTGGCAATCACAGGGAAGCCCTGGGAGGGAAGAACAGCTCTCAAGAGAGCTTCAGATTCTCTTCACACCACTCGTCCCTGTAGCATCTCCAAATTTGTGTGGGACAGATGATACCCAATGCTCAGTCTCCTCACTTTGTGGATCCAGTTCAAGTTCTGTAGCTCTGAAGAGGACCAGGCCAAGAGTACACCCCACATATTTTGTCAGAGTTATTTGTTCTCTGCTCATATCCTCTCCTTAAGTTCCACAGATCACTGTGCAGACACAGGTGAAATGAGGAGACATTAAAGATGGGGGCTGTGAAGCAGAGAGATGATTTCAATCTCCTTCTGAGCTTTTACCACACAGAGTGATACTCATTATTTCAGCATTTGCTCAAGTTTGTATTACCTTCTTGCTGCTCTTGCCACTCTCTCCTGAAAATTGTGCTGGACAATTTCAAGCATATGTTCTTCTGGACTTCACACAATGTGCCTTGAGCAAGTCTGCAATGAAAGCCCTAACATTTCTCTACATGTAATGATGTGAGAACTAGGAGGTCTAGCCTACTTTGTAGGATTTTGTAAAGTATAGAGGGAAAATGATCTTATTCATTCTCCTTCTGAACTTTTCAACCCCTGAGAAAATGATTCTGCATCCAGCCTAAACAGAAGTGAAATGTTTCAGCTGCTTTGATTACAGAACCACGTTGTCTGGGAAACACAGGCTTAGAGAAGGTATAGATCAGTTTCTCTTAGGATATCATTAAACTCCTTTTGCATGACAGACTCGAGTACCAGGAAAGAATAGTTTCCACAGGCAGCACAGGGAAATTCAGAAACTGATCTAAACACAAAGAAAGCCCAGAGGCTGTCAAAACCAGTGCAATTTATACCACCACTTGACCTTCTCCTTCAACATGTTAGCAAAATCTAAATTGCTGGATTCTCCCATGTGGAGTGTTCTACTTTAACACCCTTGGATTCTTTGGTATCATCATGAAGTTGCCAATGAAGCAAACATTACCAACTGATAACAGAAGTTAAGACAAAAAGAAAAGGAATACAAGGAACATGGGATAGGGGATTGCTGTATTTATAGGTCAGAGTAATCTGTCCTCTGCCACAGATGACACCTTCATCAATTCTTTGCACACACAAACAACAAATTCATCCCCAGTTATATATATTGAGGTGGACTGCACTGTCTCTGATATCAGCCTTTTCCTGCTGATAGAAGTCATTTGATCTTGCTCAGAATACCAGAATTCTGGGAAAGTGCTGAGAGTTGTTTCACTCCACCAAGAGTTCTGAAAGGATCAGGACATACAGGCCACAGCATTTGAACAGCATTTGGGTGGTCAAAATTATCACTCATTTCCAAAAAATAAGGGAGGATTTGTTAATGCTTATCTACCTCAGACTTTTTAAAACTCTCCATTTCTTTGTTTGTGTATAAAAACTCTAGATGAGAGAATATGGATAAGGCAGAACTTCCAACAGTACAAATTAACTCATAGTAATATAGCATCAACATATATGCACCTGGGATGTGCAAATTTCCTCAGTAGCCCTTAGATAAACCAGGGTTTGGGATTTTAGTGCCAAAATACTGGAAAATCCTGCTTTGGAAGTGTTCAAGTAAATAGTAGCAGCACAGAATTTAAAACTTGAGAAAAATTATAGACCCCTCCAAAATGACTCAATTTTGCAGTCCTAAATGTATAGGGAAAGATTTAATCTAATCTAAACTCTAAACATGTCTTCTGTTTCTATTGTTGAAATCTTAAACATTGAATAAAGGCTTCCAGTTTGGCCTCACCATGCATTAAACATGACAGATTTTGCTTTCAGTCATGCCAATATTAAAAAAAAGGTCAACAACCATAAGAATTTCAGCCTGTGTTCAGAGTTGTTTAACAACATACAAAGCAATGACAGAACAGCTTAAAAATACTTAAAAATATATCTCCCCTAAACTGAAAAATCACCCTATGGAAACAGAATAAAAAATTATTAACATGATTTGTTCTCCCTGTCATTTATGAGACTTGTTTTTCCACATTTAGGAAAGGAAATATAAGATCTTAGAAGCAAAAACTGTTTTATTCCAAGTAGTTTAGGTGGGTGTTTTGCCTATGCAGAAGCTGTAGCATTTAGCATATAAACAGAAACTCCTTCCACACAGCTCTAGGAAAATCAGGAATCACTTCAGAGAAAAATCTCGTGTAGTTCTGAATATCTTCTCTTTCAAGATATTTAATGACTTTCCTCTCTTTCAAGATATTTAATGACTTTCACACTTATGTTTAAAGCAGAATGATCACAGACAGGCCAGTGCATTTTTTCATAAGGACAAAGAATTAGCTACTCACCATACCAGCAGTCGATTTCATGTGAAGGAAAAGGTAAGTAACCATTTTTCATGAAATCAAACCATGAGTTACAATGCTGAAATGGAACAGTTCACAGATGTGATCTCAATCAGTCAATTTAAAAAATAAAAGGAAAATGATAGAGGTATAAGAGATGTCCCTGATACTTCCTCAAGTCCTGTCTACTGAAGTGCTGCTCAAATGAACTCTACAATACAGCCAGCCAAGATCTTAATAAAAACCAATCTATTTTCAAGAAACGCTGTTCTGTTTAAGCAAGAGTTTTTCCTATGAACATTATTGTTCAGGTGGAAAATTTAGATTCCAGAAAAATCTGTTCTGAAGAAGAAATTCCCTTTCTCCATCACACACACACAAAAAAAAAAAACCTCAACAAAAACCCCACAAAAACAAAACAAACCCCAAAAAACCCCAATAAAATGTAAGTGTGAAATGATAAAGTCATTTGATGAGATATGTCATTTTTGCCATGCCTGTATTCACCAGAATCTATTAACAAAAATCTTAAAATAGCTATGAATATAGATACTACTTTCCAACAATCTCCTAAATTTCATTTTTTTTGAATTTTTGAACTCCCATGGTAGTTTTTTCCATGATAAGTAGTTGTTTCAGGCCAAGCAGACACACAAAAAAAAATCCCAGGTTAATTATTGTTTCATACATCCATACCTCATACTTACCTACTACTCCTCAAACAAGATTCTAAAAACACTCCTTTCTGCCAGGTATGCTTCTAAAACTGTCTCTTTATATGCCTCTAAATGCTTTGGGCTACACAAAAAGAGGCCCATAATTTATAAAGATAATAGACTTTTGTATTAGTCTAAACACAAACTACAGGTAGTCAAAAAAAGGTATCCAGTGTTTTTTAAAGCTTCCACAAACTTTTTTATTTTTTCTGTCAAAATCCAGTATTTCACAAAACCTCAGAGTATCAAATTTTCTGAGCAGCTTTAATAAAAGCTACAACTTTTAGCTCCAGAATATGTTTCTGTCTTCCTCTGGAAACATGATGAAACATGATAAGATGAAACCTCCACAGTGATCCCTTTCTTTCAGCAGACAAAGTTTAAGAGGATTGTATGTTCTTCTGATCTTTCAGGTACTTAGCAGTACGAGGCAGAGGTTGCCTTCAGATCTTGTGAGCCAAAGCCTGTCTCCTGCAAAACCGAACTGACCCACCAGTAGGATACAGCTTAACCACGGCACAACTCAGAAAGGCAGGCCAGCCTCACACAGGGAGGGCCTTGAACCGCTGGGTGACAAAGCAGTGACAGCTCTGCTCTCTTTTTCATGAGTGACAGCTGTGGGAAATGCTGCTGCAGTGCTCTGGCCAGCACCCTGCCCAGCAGAGCCGAGCCATGTGCCAGCTCCCAGGCTCTGGACCAAGCTCCATCATGTTCAGAGTCTTGCTTCCACCCTGGCAAAGCCCTCCTCAGTTTCTTAAAGTCTGGACATGCTCACAAACCCTGCTCATGGGCTATTTCTGTGTGCACTGGCTACTCCCCTTTGCTTTCTTTAGGACTGGTTGAGCCACAAAGTGACCAAACCTTCACTGGTGTGCTGAAGATTATTTCTTTGAGAAGTCCATTCTTTGAGAAGATTGAAGAAATGGCACTTGATCCAAAGGTTGGGCATTTGGCTACAGAATGCCCTCCATTCAGGAGAGCACCAGATGCAATGACCTGCTCATGGAGTTCTCCACTGAGGCCCGCTGGCACCAAGAGCCTAAAACTGACATACCAGATGCTTTTGCATTCCTTCATAACAGGCTAAAGAGCGCTCAAAAGAGACAACTTGAGATAGAGCTGCAGTCAATTGAGAGACAAATACAGAGAGGGGTAAATACCTGATACAGAGAGAGAATGGAATGCGTAAGACATGCTTCAAATTAAGTGTCACTGCATAAATGAAATGAGAAGCTGGAGATCCACTTTTTGTCTAAACTGTTCTTTTGTTGCATTCTCAAGGTTACCATTTATCCTTTTTCATTAGACCAACAACATCACCGACTGCATTGAGGTTCTAATAATCATTGCATAAACCAAGAGAATTAATCTGAGATATGCAGAACTTGGTTTCATCAAGGCAAACCCAGAGAGACTTCAGTTAATTGTATACATGATTTGTATATTTGCACCCAGAGAACTTGGGAACAAAAGACGTCATATGCTTTTTTTCCTCCCATGATAAACTAACACTGCACCTAATTCTGAACATTTCACAGAAACAAAAAACCCACAATCAATTCTTATGTATTATGCATACATACTTGTATGTATTTGTGTGCACAGGGGCTCTTCCTGATGCAAGAGAAAAGGTGATGAACTCTCCACACAAAATATAAAAATAGCATCAGTAGCACAGTTAAAGAGCTATGCACAATTTCCCATAGCTGATGATTAGTTGATTTAAGAGACAGTGAGTTGGAAAATTAATCTTTTTCAAATTTATAATATGAACATAAACAAGAGCAAGTACTTTACTAAGCTGTTCTACAGATGTGGAAATAATAATCAGTTTAGTATCAGGATTTTATAATCTATTTTATGCCAGGATAAGCACAAGTGGGTTTTGTTGCTGTTTTCCTTTTCTTCTGCCAGGGAAAAAAAAAAAGATAACTTTTACATACCACAACTGACTAGAATTCAAGCATTGAAGTTTAATTCCTGGGCATCTTCTCTATTAGTAAGAGTAAAGAAATGGAGGAATGATGAGGCTCTCAGGTGGGACCTCTGGAGGTTGGTTATTTGAACATCTGATATGAATTCAAGTGACAAATCCTGAAGAAAGAAACTCTTATTTCCAAGAATTTCTGCTAGCTATTCCGAAGCATCACAAGCAAACCCCTAATTCTTTCACTAAGGTAACTCTATTGATGTGGAAAAGGAATAAAATAATAGCTTGCACAAATGAAGAGAAAAGTAGCAAATCGTTTGATTAACCTCAATTCCTGCTATTTTTCCTCTTAAACAGCAGGTAGTGAACAAATAGCTACACAAACTTTCAGAAGGAAATCAAGACAGAACAGAAACTACCACAACCCAGTGTAACCTGTTCCTTACTGATCATTTCCAAAGGATGATCAGAAAGGAACTCATGGTCAAACTGCACAATGTTTTGAGAAAATATCTTTGATAAAACAATTCAAACAGTTCAGAACTTGCTACAGTTTGGCTTGATCCCCAAAACATTTCCCATAACACCAGTAGCTTAAAATACATCACAGCTTCAAGGTTTAAAGCAAAGATTTCTGAGAAGTGTGTAAATGCTTGCGAAAGTTTCTGCTTGTAAAATGGAGATGGAACTTTCTGGAGAAACTCTTCCAAATCCTAGCTTAGAGTTCTTCAATCCCTAGTCACAGAAACACCAAAGTAAAACTTTACTTTCTCTAAAACGTGGTCAGCTACAAACCCTGGATTCCTGCAAAATTTGGGTTTGCACTCAAGTTTCTTACATCTGACCCAGCCCAGTCTGGCTCACTTCAGCCGTGACAGGTCACAGTTACAATTAATGTACCACGAGGTACACCCCCAGACATGGATATTGCCCTAGCAGAAGTTACTGTGTAAGTTACTCCAAGCTCATCACCTCTCATAATCAGCTGGCAAGAACAAATCCAATCCTAAGTGGGCTCAGGTGTGTAAAGGACCCCTGAACAGACAGGATTCCAACACTTCACTCCGACAGTGACAGCAGCAGCTGCTGTACATCACCACTTCTCAAAGCTATGGGGAACCACATCTTCAAAAATATCCCCCCCTGCTTCTTCCCTCTTCCTTAATTAAATTGCAAAAAGTAAATAAGAAATACAGCACATGGAACATTTTGATGTCCCTCAATGAATCTATTGGTCATTTTAAGGCAGTACTAAGATATTTTAAATCAAAGTCTTTGCTCCAGGCTCTGCACATCTTCAGTCAATATGGATTTGTAGGTCACTTTACACAAGGGCAAAGCCCAGGAATATACAGCAGGAGTCCAACTTTTAACCAGATTCAGATTATTTGTCTAAAAAAATACGTTTCAACAGTACAAACTGAATTTGAAATAACAAATATTGTGCCTGGGTTTTGGCAGTTAAACTAAAAAATAAAGCTAAAATTTGCTCTGAGGTTTATGAAGAAACTTAAACCCTTTTCCTGAAAAAACTTATGATGTTTGATTATTAAATGCTGATGGAGAAAAAAATTAAATTAAATTTTAAAGGGAGTTGTAACAGTAAACCAAACAATGCTATGAGACAGTTTTATATGATCCACACCTTGTTTAGTTCTAATTCAAGGAAAAAATAAAAAATAAAATCTAAGAAACAAGAGATGGGCTAACTGGGGTAAAATATTCCATTTATGGGAGCGCTAGATATTTTTGTGAGAATATTATGCATCTGCATAAGGTAGTGAAATGACGATGCTGAATTCTGGTCAACCTTACTGGAAGGAGAGGGTATGTAATACCCAGCAGGAACAACCCTCAGTTTATATCACTTATAATCCAGTTAACAATAAATTAGGCTTGACCAAAACCATAATAAAGCATTTCCTATAAATGAGATTTTAAAATGTTTACTCTGTAATCTCCAAGGAGCCACTAAAAATCACTGCTGTTGCAGGCCCTGCTAAAACCTGTCCAGTTCAGTAAACCATATTATTCTGTGTATGGGGAGAACTACACCACTCTGAAAGTAATTTTTGCCTTGGGGATAATTAAATGCATATTGTACCTTAAAGTTACAGCACCAGGAAGCTTTAGTATATTGAGCTACTTTAATTAGAAAGAATTTTACATATTTCTTGGCCCCAGTTTTTTGTCTTAAACATGCTGGTGAAAAATGTTAGGATGGCTAAAATTCCTATTTTTTACTTTGCTTAAGGCACTATTTATAAACATTACAATGAATCAGGCCACTGGAGCCACAGCTTCTCACTTACAGACTGGGGAAGAGTTTCTACTTAGACTTCTCTTCAAAGCAAGCCCTTTAATCCTTGTGTTTTAGAGGATTTTGCTGCACAATAAATACTCAGTCAAGGCATGCCAGGGAC